CTGGAGGGAGTCACACTTCATGTAAACACAATGGAAAGCTATTTGGCAACATTTTGTACAAGTGACATTCACATGTACTATCACTAGCAATTCTACTGCATACATACCCTGAGAGCTTTCATGTATCTGTGCCTCTAGAGATGTTTACCAGGATAATCATGGCAACACTGACAAAGCCAAATACTATAAACCAACCAACTGTCCTCAGATACTGAATGGATAGATAAATTGTGATATGTTCATATGAAGGAAAATGTTACGCAGAGGTCAAAGTGAACAATAAGAACATATACATGGTGCTCACTGAGTGCCAAACACTGTACTTGCTCCTTGTCAAAAATTAACTTTTTTTTAATCCTTAGAGAAGACTAATATTTTCCCTCTTACAAAATGTAGAAACGGGGGCACAGAGATTAGGGAATTTTCCATGTATTATATATGCAAAGCCAGGATTTGAGTTTCAAAGTTGGAGTTATGCTCCTAATTTACTATTCTCCCTCTATCAGTAAATAAGCTAGAAGCAGAAGTAACATGATGGAACTGAAAAAAAAAAAAAGGACACTAAATGAAAGAACAGAAAAATCAGAAGTAATCCCAGGAGACTGCAACATACTATTGGATATCAGTTTCATATGGCTGGGGAAAGTGGGATGCTGGGGATGTATGTGCCTTTGGAGATTGTATCCTGTCCTCCTGGCTCCAACCTTCTCTCTCTGCTTCCCAGCCACTACGAGCTAAGGAGCTTTCTTCTGTCTCCACCCTTCCACCATGGTGTTCTGCCTCACCTAGGATGCAGAGATGGTGTAGCCCACCATGGGCTTAACCTCTGAAGCTATGAGCCCCAAATAAACTTTATCTCCTCTAAGTCGTTATTGCCAGATATTTTGGTCACAGCATGAAAAGCTAAATAACATTCAAGGAAAAGATGAACATAAACCCCAAGGTAACAACTGCTTCCATGCATCAAAGGGATGTAGGGAGAAATAGGCAGAAGACAAAGGTAGCCATCCCTGTAGTGGAATTGATGATATTCTCATTTCTGAGTTGACTGGTGGTTTTGTAGATGTTTATTTTATTATTATACATTCTAATGTATTTATGCTATTTATATCTTTTATGGATCAAATTTAAATATATTTAAAAAGATACAAAAACTAATAAATAAGTAGAAAGTCAGATAGTAATGAAAATGGGCTTTGGTCATATTTTCAAGAAGACTGATTTAAAGAAGAGGGATTTGTATCACTAGTTAGATCCATGGTTAAGGTTCTCTGTGTGTGTGTATGTGTGTGTGTGTGTCTCTGTCTGTCTGTCTTTATGAAAGGATCTGCATCCAGATTATGAGAAAGTGGACTAGATGTAGTAGTTTGAGTCATGATGATATTGCCTCCCAGGGGATATCTGGCAATGTCTGAAGACACGTTGTGTGTGTGTGTGTGTGTGTGTCTATGGGGAGGACTGTCACACAACTGGCAACTATTGAGTAAAGATCAAGGATGCAGCTAAAGGTCCCAAAGTGCATAGGACACTACCCTCTCCAACTAGGAATTATTCAAAGTGTCAATATATATTATCCCAAGGTAGAAACAGAGACACAGGGATTAAGAAACCAGTGACAGAAAAAGCAAAGCAGGATGGATTAAAAGTACAATAGAAAATTGAATGAGAGTCAAGTCCAGACAAGACAGGAGAGCTTTGCCCAAAGGAAACACATAACATCTCCAGAACCTGTAGACCACCTAGAGACCAACCCTATCTTAAGCCCACTCCTTTAAACAATGTCTATGGAGTAGACCTCATTTTGACTTTGGTGTAAGTGAAAAGAAATACAAAAGGTATATTCAGTTTATTGTTAATCATTCTAGAGAAACAGGCACAATAAGAAACAAGTGCACAATAAGAAATATAGGTGAGGTAAAGCTACATCTATGTTAACAAAGTATAAGCCACAGGGCCCCTCCTAGGGACTTGCCCTTACTGTGGACCTGAAAGGGGCCTTAGTAATGATGATTTTGTAACTTTGAATTAACTGTATTACTTAAAAAGCCCCCCGTCAAAATGTATGAACTTTGGGTCCCATGGAACAAGGATTTACCCCCAATGCAGGAAAGTTATTCTCTCCATAACATCCTTGCTAGATGCACCCTGAAGCTGAATGGTCACATATTACTCTATTTAGTTCCCTAAGAGACAGTTCATAAAACCACATCACTCTCCCAGTCTCCCCCTCTTACATAGTTTTTACAGGTCATTTCCTCCATAATAACCTATCTTCTGGCATTAAAGGCCTGAGGGTACAATTAGGCTAAGACAATAAATGAGAATAAGTAGGTGATTCAATTCCCCCTACTCTGAAGGGGAATAACTTTAGAGTGGAAAGCTGCTATCTTTTGGTCTCAAGGTGCACATAGGAAACAATAGCTCAGAAAAATTGTTATGAGGTTTTGTGTACATGAAGTCACCTAAGACACTCATTATAAATGTGGATTCTAAGGATTCTCTTCCTAAGTATTCCATGATTCTGGTCCAAGTATGGTAAAGAGCCATTTGCTTGACACAAGTATTCTTAATATTCTAGGATGCCATATCCCTTGGGAGATCTTTTAATAGTTATATTTTAACAATTTTAATAAAGGGATCAATCTATGGCTGCCTTACTTATGATTCCCAGCTTAGAGATTCCTTTGCATAAAATCAGCATATGTAGATGATATCACTGAGAGGGGGAAAAACAGTAAAGATTGAAGTGGGAAAAAGACCATCCAAGGAGTGAGAGAATATCCTATTGAAATCAGAAGGAGGTCATGTGTGCAAGCGCCCACACATGCACGCGCACGTGAATGTGCAGAAAGCAAGAGAAAAAGCAATATACACATGTTTGAAATCAAAAGAGAACCATAGAAGAAATAAAAATAAAGTGTTAGAAAGAAGGACTTAGGGTAAAATACAATAATTGTTTCTACTCTATTCTGCAACTACTAAAATGATAGTAAAAGAATTAAAATGGCATAATCCAAAAGGACAAATAAGACTGCAGTGCACATGCCAAAGAAATATCAGCAACATTTTAGAAATGCTAAAACATATGGACAAGTGCTGACTGGCTTCACACACTAGCAAAAACAGAAATATAAATGTCTGCAAGGTGAGGGGTGCCAATAAGCATGCTGATTCCTGAAAAAGAACTTTTCAGAAATCAGAGGTCTAGAGAGTGAAAAGGGGATTGGTGTTGATATCAGTGAAAACATTTCAAAGTATGAATACTGAGCAGTAAGCCCAAACCATGGGGGGTAAAGGGGGGGTGAGTCTAACTTCACGGAGTAGCAGAAAGAGTCCAGAGCAGAGTGGAAATGTGAGAGAAATAATGGGCATTTTCCAGAACTAAGGTCATGGGGTCTCTCCTAGATAGGTTCATTGTGTTCCAGCACAATGGATGAGAAAAGACTAATGGTAGAAGAAATATGGGACAGCTTAAAAGACTGATGGTAGAAAAAATATGGGAGAGCTTTAAAATAGATATTAAAAGGGGGATTCTAAATGCCTGGGCTCAGGAGTAGGGTGGCAGGAAACAGCTTATCTACAAAACTTTGAAATCAGAATTGCATCATAACTCTCAGCAGTTATATTTAAGCTTGAAAACAATGGAGCAATAATTCTCAAAATTCTGTAGGACAAACTCTAGTAAAATAACAGGGTAAGACTCATATTTTTTAATAAAGTATAAAAATTTCAGTAGAGAGGTTGTTGAAAAAATAGTAAAACTCATAAATATTTAAGCAGATTTTAAAAAGTAATAATGTTTAATTTTAGGAGAAACAGACTGCAGAAAGAAGAAAGGGCTGGGGGTAAGAAAGGAAAGATGTGAATATTATTTCCCTATTTTATAGTAGTGTAAAGATATGATTTAACCAAAACTTGAGATATAGTATACTGGGAAGATGGAGGGCAGGTAACTGGAGGATTGCTGGTGAAATGTGGTGCAGATATTTGAACTGTGCTACTGCAACAGAAAACTGAACTCCTCATCTTCCCTAACATTAACATATATTGTCTAAAACCAACAATGTAAATCAGGAAGAGTATACAGATTGTTGGCTTCTATGGTGGTGGGGTGGTACTGGGATTGAACCCTGGGCCTCGACACGCTAAGCATACTCTCCATGATCAAGTTATGTCCCAACTCCTAATGCATGAATGGTATATAGAAATATAGATGTAACAACTAGGAAAAAAAATGAAATAAAAACTGGCAAGGATTAAGGGATGCTGCTTTTTGTCATATTTTCTAAAAGACTTTAGAAAACATGAACATGGCCCATTTCCATGAATATAAAAATAAATTATAAAGAAAGTAGATTATATCATATATACATTTATGCCAAAAAATATATTTCTTCGTGTTTTATGTAAAAATGATATGAGGCCAAAAATTTTAACCCAATTCAACCCTGTGTAATTAAGTGTACAGTTTAGTTAACAGTTTTTCTTCTTTTTACAGTTAACCTTGTGCAAAATTTTGGGCTCTTACTTATTTTAGTGTTATACCTTATTCCACCAGGTTTAAGGAGCAACCATCTGAATTAGTGGTGTTACCAATAGACAGCATCAATATAACAGCATATACTGAGGTCACATATCCATATTTCTTCAAGCTTAGATATTAGAGCAATAAAGGCCAGAGGAACTTCTAGTAATTCAGCATACTCCAACTCAGTTCTTAGGACAGTGGGTGTGGTGACAAGAGCCATCATGCATGAGGAATGTCACATCACCAAGCAAAAGTCTCTGAATCTGCATTATCAGTGGTGTGCTAGAATATAATTCAGACATGATTTTATAAACCTTTCACAAAATGATTTCATTTCTTCTGAATTTTATTTCAATAAAGTAATCATTCAAAAATTTAAAGTGATCAAAATGATGGAAAAAAACAAGTCAAGTAAGATCCTTGCAACTCCCCCCTTTTATTTTCCTTCTAAAGTATTTTGATGTTTCAATACCTCTCTGTAGCCATCACTGATTCGTTCCAAGCTGAGGGAATACACAAGGTCCCTGCCTCCCACAAAGAGTCGTTCTTGGTATTCATCCAGCAGCATTGTATGGAGATCAAGAAATCCAAAAGGGCTATGAAATATTGATGTTCTGTTCAGATCCAAGAGCTCTGAAATGCAAAGAGATATATATACTAGACACATGAGAAATGCAAATACCTCTTTAACAAACATTTTTCTCCTGACTGTATTTACAACCCTGTTGGAACTAACTAGTTAACAATCATGTTCTCATAGCTATAGAGACTTTAAACTTCAGTATTCAAAAAAGTTTAGAAATATATACTCAACCTTCAGTAGCGATGGAGGATTAGTTTCAGCCCCACTCTGCTCTGACACTAAAACCTAAGGATGATTAGTTTGCTTATATAAAATGGCATAGTTTCTGCATATAACCTTTGTGCATTCTTCTCTATGTTTTAAATCATCTTGAGATTACATATAGCACCCTAATACAATACAAATGCTATATAAATAGTTGTTATGCTCTATTGTTAAGGGATTAATGACAAGAAAAAAGTCTTCGCATGTTCAGTACAGACAGAATTTTTTTTTAAAATGTTTTAAATCCATGAATCTGTGGGGTGTGGAAACCACAGATACAGAGGGTCAACTATACAGTCAAACTGACAATAAATTAAATGTGTGAAAATTAAAATCTTTTACCAATTTATGAATCTAAAAATTTAAATCTAATGTAATAGGTAAGGTAAATATTCTATGTTTTTTTAAACTTTTATTTTTAAATTGTAGGTGGACACAATACCTTAATTTTGTTTTTATGTGGTGCTGAGGATTAAATCTAGCATGCTAGGCAAGCACTCTTCCTCTGAGCCTCAACTCCAGCCCCAATGTTTTAAAATAATAATAATAAAAAAATCATCCTTGACAATCTTTAATCTCCAGTGCTATGTGGAAAAGTCATTTTATAGCTTCTCTATGTATAACAAAATGCCAAATCTATATTAAACACTCTCAAAGTGTGTCCATTTAATTTTAGATGAACACCAACTCAGAAAAATCTTTCTACTTTAAATCAGTATTGAAAGCCACAGTCAAAATCAATAGTACAATTCTAAAAACTAATCAAGGTTACAGCTACACTGAGTTATTAACAGTGGGGGTTTGTTTTCCACAATTGTGATTTTGCTAATGTTCATGCATTTATGCCTATGTCAGAAATTGCAAACTATGTGCTTTAGATATGTATACTTAATTTTAAAGTATTAGAATCTGGCAAGCCTCTCTTATGTGTAAATTTGTTTGTTGAAGGTATTTAATTGCATATGGCAGTTCAATATTAAAGTTGGTAAAATTATATATGAGTGCCTTTGATAATGAGAAAGAGTATTATCCCCAAATTAGACCATGAATGGGGAAGAGTTTCTGAAGAGGCCCCTTGGAAATGTTAGTTAGAAGGTAACTTCTGTTCCAAAGGCCAACGTCAAATGTCTTTGACAGAGAAGGTGGAACATTATTGACCAGAACACTAAAATGCGGATGATAAAAGAAAATACAACAAATTGAGAGCATTTTATTCACTCTTCTATATCTTCTGTTTCTGAAAAAGATGTTTTTTTCTCTTCCTTTTAAAAATGTACTCCTTGTTTAAGTCTTTATTCTGCTACTGTTGATGCCCAAGTTTTTCTGGAGTAGGATTAACTTTAAATTTAGAGTTTACAACAAGCAATATTGTTAAAACTTAGGTATCTTTTATAAAGGTAAAATTTGAGATGAGTTGTTTATCACCTAAATAAAGAATTTGAGAACAAGTTGTTAGGGTGGGATGAAGAGAAAGTAGGTACTTTATTTGGAAAGGAAAAAATTAGGAATTTGACAGATGAGAATATCTTGAATCCTGGAACACAACTTTTTTTTCCATTTACTAATTTTGTCAAGTTAAAAATCATGCTGCTGTCCTTATTAAAGTATTTACACATAAAAGCGCAGTTGGGATCCAATACCAAAACAAACATACAGATGAAAGCTATCAGCTGCTACCATATTTTGTCTTTATAAACATGTATGATTTCATATCAGTACCACTAAGTGAACTCTTTCCTATAAAAGTTTCCCCAGTTATACTGATAGTTAACTAAAATTTTCCAGTTTTTGTACTCCATGAAAATCATTACCTGGATGGGTGCAACTGATCAAAGAACAGTCACATATTCGCTAAAATTAGCAGGATTCTAGACCACAGACTTGCCAATACACAAAGGGGCAAAATTTAGGAGATTAAATTTGTTGAAAAATAAAAGTAAAGTATGAAAGAATGCAAATATGAGGGCCCTAATCTAAAATATTATCAGAATGGAGTAATATATTTTTGAAGGTTTGCACTGGAAGGAGAGGCAAACCAATCAGCAAAGGGGTTACTCCATGAGTGAATTCAATCTAGGGATGACTTTGCCTACTTCTGATGAGGTCATTAGTACCTTTGTTACCATCTACATGTGGAAAAATACACACTAACTTCTTCTTGTTTTTATGAATTGCCAGTTTATGCTAAGCTTACTATAATTGCAATAGTCTAAAAGTGGTAGCTTTTATTTCTTCATCAGTAACAATATAAATTATTTATTAAATCATCAATCTTATTTTATTCTGATGTATTAACTTCTCTTCTGACCACTTCCCCTTCTCTATGGCCAAATCTATACAAAGAGAGATGCACACATGTTCCTTTAGCTGCACTAAAGAATTGCAAATGTAAAGACTGAAGAATGCAAATGTAAAGAACTGAAGTGTGCATTAGAATAATGCAAATTTTGTAAATATCCACTTTTAGTGACCTTTACATTTTTTCCCAAAGAGTAAGCTACCACAGTGTAACCGTCTAAATAACCACTGTCTTTTATTTCACTGATGGAAAAACTCAGGTGCCCAGAAATTTAATGAATATCTTACAGGAATATACTAGTATAATGAAAAGAAAAAAAAAAAAACCTTTGAAATTACCCATAAAAACATGAGAATGAAAGTACAATGAATGTATATATCATTACCAAAATTCTTATAGACTGATAATCTTGAGAGCCAAATGCTGGTCCTGGCTTTGGCCCTTATTACCTATGGAAACTTGAAGAATCTCTTAACCTCTTTAGATTGGATTCCTCAAGTGTTAATATGTGTTCCACCTTTAAAATTCTTAATTATTTGAATTGTGTTTTTAATATGAAGTTTATAAAACAATATAAAAATAAACAAACCCAACATGTATATGGTTTTACAGAGCCCTTCTAAGTACAGTGCTGACCCTATAATTTTGGAAACTTAAAAATGGGTTGGAATAGTCAATGAACAAGTCTATCACATTTTCTATAATCTTGCCTAAAAGGAAGTATTAAACACTCATTCACAACTTTTCATATTTAAATGATTATAAAGTCAGATAATTGTTTTTTGTTATTGTTATATGGAATTTTGAAGATTGTGTAGCTTGATTCATCCGTATGGTCTCAGAAGAAATTTCTTCCTCTGGATATTAGGGCTCTATCTGAAGTGTGAGGAGTAAAGATTTGTTCCCAGGATGTAGGCTCTCTATTTACCTCTCTTATTGTATCTTTTGCTGAGAAAAAACTTTTTAGTTTGAGTAAGTCCCATTTGTTGATTCTAGTTATTAACTTTTGTGCTATGGGTGTCCTATTGAGGAATTTGGAGCCCAACCCCACAGTATGTAGATCGTAGCCAACTTTTTCTTCTATCAGACGGCGCGTCTCTGATTTGATATCAAGCTCCTTGATCCATTTTGAATTCACTTTTGTGCATGGCGAGAGAAAGGGATTCAGTTTCATTTTGTTGCATATGGATTTCCAGTTTTCCCAGCACCATTTGTTGAAGATGCTATCCTTCCTCCATTGCATGCTTTTAGCCCCTTTATCAAATATAAGGTAGTTGTAGTTTTGTGGATTGGTTTCTGTGTCCTCTATTCTGTACCATTGGTCCACCCGCCTGTTTTGGTACCAGTACCATGCTGTTTTTGTTACTATTGCTCTGTAGTATAGTTTGAAGTCTGGTATCGCTATACCGCCTGATTCACACTTCCTGCTTAGCATTGTTTTTGCTATTCTGGGTCTTTTGTTTTTCCATATGAATTTCATGATTGTTTTCTCTATTTCTACAAGAAATGCCGTTGGGATTTTGATTGGCATTGCATTAAACCTATAGAGAACTTTTGGTAATATCGCCATTTTGATGATGTTAAAAAAATTAGACAGTAAGAGAACAAACAACCCAATCAACAAATGGGCCCAGGACCTGAACAGACACTTCTCAGAGGAGGACATACAATCAATCAACAAGTACATGAAAAAATGCTCACCATCTCTAGCAGTCAGAGAAATGCAAATCAAAACCACCCTAAGATACCATCTCACTCCAGTTAGATTGGCAGCCATTATGAAGTCAAACAACAACAAGTGCTGGAGAGGATGTGGGGAAAAGGGTACACTTGTACATTGCTGGTGGGACTGCAAATTGGTGCAGCCAATTTGGAAAGCAGTATGGAGATTTCTTGGAAAGCTGGGAATGGAGCCACCATTTGACCCAGCTATTCCCCTTCTCGGTCTATTCCCTAAAGACCTAAAAAGAGCATGCTACAGGGACACTGCTACATCGATGTTCATAGCAGCACAATTCACAATAGCTAGACTGTGGAACCAACCTAGATGCCCTTCAATGGATGAATGGATAAAAAAAAATGTGGCATTTATACACAATGGAGTATTACTCTGCATTAAAAAATGACAAAATCATAGAATTTACAGGGAAATGGATGGCATTAGAGCAGATTATGCTAAGTGAAGCTAGCCAATCCCTAAAAAACAAATGCCAAATGTCTTCTTTGATATAAGGAGAGTAACTAAGAACAGAGTAGGGGCGAAGAGCATGAGAAGAAGATTAACATTAAACAGGGATGAGAGGTGGGAGGGAAAGGGAGAGAGAAGGGAAAATGCATGGAAATGGAAGGAGACCCTCAGAGTTATACAAAAGTACATACAAGAGGAAGTGAGGGGAAGGGGAAAAATAATATAAGGGGGACAAACGAATGTCAGTAGAGGGAGCAGAGAGAGAAGAGGGGAGGGGAGGGGAGGGGAGGGGAGGGGGG